AAAGATGCAACGATGACGATAATCATCGATGCCATCGTAGACTAGTGAATTGATCTAAACCTGCACGTATAGGATAACAATGAAAGCTGTGAACGCATATTTCAAGAAACATACTGAATTTTATAAAACATAATTAAGCTTTTCTCGAACGAGAAAATCGAACTTAAGAATTTTGACGAATTTCCTATGTATTCTGATTAGTGTCTTGCACGAGTACGTCTTTTAGTAACCGAACCCGGATAGCTGACCCGCTCGAAGCCAATCGACATCTGGCAGATACTTTCACAGTCACAGTACGGTTTTCAAACTTTTATTTAATATGAACAAGTACACTACTTCGTTTTTTTTATAAACAGTAACAAAAAAAAAGATCATCTCAAATTCCAAAAAAAAAAGCCAGTGATTCAGAATTCACTTAGTGTTTCTCTGCGGCTAAAATGTGATCAGTTTCTCTAAGTATATGTTCGCTTGTCGCCAGTGATGTTGGAATGGAACGCAGTAGTGGTGTCAAGTGTCATAATTGCGGATACAAACATGAAGGTTTGTTCCGTGCGATAATGTATATTCCTTCCCATGTATTCAATAACTTCATCATTATCGGTAGATAAATTTCCATTAAAAACGAGTTCTTTTAGTAAAACAATATCGCTTTTCACTTCTGTGAGCTGTTCTCAAGTACAATAAATTGCTCAATCATGATCGAATCGATTTTCACTTCTATGCTTTTATATAAATTAGCAGTTTGAAAAAGTAAAAACATTATAAAACATCGAAATTTCATTAATTGCCGAGGCAGGTGCTAGGTTGCAGGACACTAGTTCAAATATTTTCTTGCAATGACCTATCCGACCGAAAAAAATTGAGACCAATCCAAGACTGCCAAAGTTTTATCATACGTTCACCGTTAGTCTATACATACATGCTTAGATCGATACATCTCTATCTATTTCTTTACTTACCTTCGAATAACTGTATCTGCGGAATCATTTTCTGCTTGTTGCATAAAGCTATCCACATCATCAACAAATACTGCTTTTGGTATACCTAAATGTTCACTATCACCTCCACTAGTTATTGATGCCATCTAGAAAAAAAATCATGTAAAAAAAAGCCCGATTTTTAACATATCAATCTATGATAGATATTTTTTTTTTCTTTTAGAAAAATGATTACAAATAAATAAAAGAATCACGTTTAGAAGAATAAAGAAAAAAAAAAGTAAATTACACTTTTAGAAGACTTTGTCATCGAAAACTAAAATAAAACAACGTTGCGAAGAACGATAAATGAATATTAATTTACCGAATACTTATTCTTGCACGGAGAAATAAACGCATAAGAATAAATGCAACAAAAGGCCAAAATAATATAAATGCAATTATTTCTCGACGAAAACCGGACAATGGTAACCATCGTGATGAAGACTAGGAATAAATAAATATATATAAATATTTCAAACGAAATAATCACTTACATTTAATTCTAATGAAGTGGATAATTCTTTCTAGAACAAAACCAATAGAATAATATTTAAAATACAGATTTTTTTTTTTCAAAACCTGTTGTAGAAGATAAGTTGATGTTTCTAATCGATTAAGTCTTTCTAATATATTATTAATATCTCGTTGAAGTTTAGTCAATGCTGTTAATATAGCACGTTGTGTTGCTTTATTATAATCATTAGTTGTATTATGTCTATTATCAATACTAGATACAACAGGTAATATTGAATATGTTGTTGATACATTTGTTTCAACATGTGAAGAATATCTTGTTGAATTTATTGATTGTTGCTACGAAACAGAAAGCCTAAGTTAAACGAAATATGTTGAAGAGAAAACAAAATTTTTTTTTTCTTTTTTCAAAAAAAAATGTTTCATTTGTAAAAATAAAATCAAATTTGAATATTTACTTGAATATTATTATTTGATGTTATCTCATCATGATTCAATGAAATGAAATCAGGTGGATCATCATAAATTTCATCAATATCTAGAAAATAATCAGAAATAAAAATAAATTGAAATTTTTATTTTACCAGAAGATGTTATTGCATAAGAGGAAGAAGATGTAGATAGTGATAAAACAGGATCGGAAACAACAGTTTCAGTTGGATTAATAGTATTAACAAGTGAATCTTGTTTGTGATCATCTATATCAAATTAAAAATTCCTCGGTTTTTTTTTTACGAATATCAATTCGAATTTTTCTTTACTTCTATCGATATCATTCACAGAAGATTGAAGAATATTTTCTTCAGTTGTTTGATGCTGCTGTTTTTCCGTTACTATAACAAAATCATTTTCTTTAGATTGATCATCAACTGATTGATTAGATACTCCAATTAATTGTGTAAATTCTAATACTTCATTTGTTTGAGGCATTGTTTTAATAATCTAAGTAATTTAAAAGAAAAACAACAACTCATGTAGAATAGTCGTCTGTATTTACTTTTCCAATTTCATCAATATATGCTGACATAGCTTGTTCTTTAGTCATTGATCGACATCTATTCCATGCTTCCCTGATGAATTAATTAATAAAATATTTATTTGAACAAAAAAAAAGAATTTTACCATTTAGCTCGAGCGACATAATTAAATAAGGATGGTTGAGAATCGTTACACGGACCTAACATCGCTTGTTTATAAAGACCATAAAACGTTAATTTCATTGAATTCGATGGTTGAATTATACCTGAAAAAAATAAATTAAAATAAGAAGTTCATATCATCGAAAAGGATGTTTCGAACAAAGGAGGGTGTGGAAGAATGATTTGTTTATATTAGATTTTAGTTGAATTTAGGTTCTGTGTATGAAGTAGACTCCAGTGAAATATAAATACTAGAATTTTAACCTTTGACCTGGTATATACCAATATCATCTCAAAAGAATGTTTTCTTTTCGTGATATTAAAGTACCGAAAAACAGAAAATTCTAATATCTTTTGTGAAAGATGAGTAATTTTTGGGACTTTAATATTTCGGGAAGGAAGCATTCTTTTGAGCTGATATCGGTATGTACCATACCAAAAGCTAAAATTCTAGTAAAATGCCTATAAATCTTGACAGAAAGCTTAATGAAGTTTATCCTTTTGAGGCTTTTCATATCTCACATTTTGCATAGAGTCCGAGTTCAAAACCGATTGATCAGTTGAAAATATTTCCTCGTAAGTTTTATAAAACGTCTATTAATTATTTCAATCTTTTCGAAATTCATGATTTTTAAAATTTTGCTTAAATCTTTTTCATGTCAATAATCTGAAAAAAATCTCTTACCATTAGCTGGTAAATTTTGAATAGTTTTAACAGCTGCATTAAATCTTTCTTCTAAATTTGTTGCAGATGCCATTTAAATTCCAACAAAAAAAAAATTATCTAGAAAATCAAAAACACGTGTATATTGGACAGATACATACATATCTTTAAAATGTGAAAATATCTCAAAAGTTTTTTA